TCAAGTTCTCATTAAACCCAAATCATGACCAAAGTAACCAAAAATTTAAAACCTAAAAAACCATCCCCACCACCTAAATATTTTAATATATCTTTTACAAATATTCGCAGTCTACGAAGCAACTTTCCATCAGTTGAGTCTTACCTCCTGCAAAATTCACCAGACTTGCTTGCAATCAGTGAAACAAATTTAAGTTCTGCAATTCCTTCTTCAGATTTCAGTGTTGATGGGTACTATCCTTTGATTCGTAAAGACTCCAATAGTCACATGCTAGGTTTAGGGGTATACATACGCATTAATTCCCCTATTTGTCGTGAAATCAAGTTCGAATCCTTTGACCATTCTTTTATGTGCTTTCGCCTAGCACCTCTTCATTCTATCACCTTTTTATTTGTTCTTTATCGTTCTCCTTCTTCCCATGATTGCACTCTTTTAGATGTTATCTCTGATCAAATTGACCATGCCCTCTCTCTTTACCCCTCTGCCAATATTGTTGTTGTTGGTGATTTTAATGCCCATCACACTGAATGGCTTGGCTCTAACACCACTGATCCTGCTGGCACTAAAGCCTTTAACTTCTGCGTTTCTCAATCTCTTACTCAGATAGTTAACTTTGTGACTCGTTTTCCTGACAACCCTAATCATTTACCTTCACTCCTTGACTTATGTCTTGTCTCTGACCCTAGCTTATGTTCAGTTTCTCCCTTTTCTGCCATAGGTGGTTCTGACCATGCAATGATCTCTATAAATCTTTCTTCTCGTACTTCTTTTTTGGGCTCACCTTATCATCGCACCACCTACTACTACCCTAAAGCTGACTGGGATTCCTTTCGTGATTTTCTTTGTGATGGTCCTTGGGCTGATGTTTTTTCTCTCTCAGCTGACAAATGCGCCTCCTACGTAACCTCCTGGATTCAGGCTGGAATGGAAGCTTTTATTCTTTCGCGTCGGTTTCAAGTCAAGTCTCATTCTACTCCATGGTTTTCTCCTTCTTGTGCGGCTGCTATATCCAATCGTAATCATTTTTTTCATCTTTTTCAAAAGAACAACTCTCTTGAGAACAAACGGCTATTTATTATTGCAAGAAATTGATGTAAAAACGTGCTTTCTGATGCTAAACTCCATTATTTTCAGTTCACTAAATCTCGCATCTTATCGCAGAAGTTAGGCTCTAAAGACTTTTGGAAAATCTTCAACAGCATTATTAGCAAGGGTAGATCTAACATTCCATCTCTCATTCATGGGACTGATCTTATTACCTCTCCCAAGGATAAGGCAGAACTATTTGCAAAGAACTTTTCTTCTAATTCCACTCTTGAATCTTATGGACATTTTCTTCCTTCCATTCCAGTCAAACAGGTTGACCCATTGTTAGACATTCAAATCACTCCGGCTTTTGTTGCTAAAGTCATATCTCAAATCAACTTGTCTACAGCTTGTGGTCCAGACAACATTCCTGTCACAGTCTTGCAGAATTGTTCTCCAGAACTTTCTTCAATTCTCGCTAAACTATTTAACAAGTGTTTGACTGAGTCTTGTTTTCCTGCTTGTTGGAAAATGGCATCTGTGGTTCCAATATTCAAAAACTCTGAGAAAATTCTGACCCCTCCAATTATCGTCCGATCAGTCTTCTTTCTGTTATTAGCAAGGTCTTTGAGTCTTTGATCAACAAATTCCTCACATCTCATCTTGAGTCAAATAAACTGCTGTCAGACAATCAATACGGTTTTCGATCCTCTCGCTCAACGGCCGACTTGCTAACTGCTGTAACTGAAAGATTTTATCGTGCATTAGATGGAGGTGGTGAGGCTAGGGCTATTACTCTTGACATATCTAAAGCTTTCGACAAAGTTTGGCATGCTGGTCTTCTCCATAAGCTTGCTTTATATGGTGTTTCTGGGAAAGTTTTTGAGATTATCAAATCATTTCTTTCTAACCGGTTTATTAAAGTCATTCTTGAAGGCCAACACTCTTCTTTATTTCCAGTAATTTCTGGGGTTCCCCAGAGTTCCATCCTGGGCCCTGCTTTGTTTCTTATCTACATAAACGATCTTCCTGACAACCTTTCATCTAAAGTTGCTCTTTTTGCTGATGACTCAACTTTATACTTCTGTCTTGACAAAAAGTCTTCTCTTTTTGATCGCCTAGAACAAGCAGCTGATCTTGAATCTGATCTCACTTCAGTAATAGATTGGGGTTTACAGTGGCTTGTGAATTTCAACTCTAAAAAAACCCAATTGCTTACTGCAAACAACTACCGTAATATGGTCAACATTCCTATATTAATGAATGGCAATCCTCTTACTGAGTCGTCCTCTTTACGTCTTCTTGGATTATCGCTTACTACTGACCTTTCATGGAAACCTTATATACAATCGATTGCTAAATTAGCTTCTGCTAAGGTTGCTTCTCTTTATCGTGCTCGCCATTTCCTTACTTCTGATTCCATTCTCTACCTCTACAAATCTCTTATTCGTCCCTGTATGGAATACTGTTGTCATATTTGGGCTGGTTCTTCTAACGATTCACTTTCTCTTCTTGACAAGGTCCAAAAACGCATTGTAAATGTTGTTGGACCTGGACTATCTGCTAAGCTTGAGCCTCTTTCCCATCGTCGTAAAGTTGCATCTCTTTCTCTTTTCTACAAATACTATCATGGTCACTGCTTAAAGGAGTTATCATCTCTAGTTCCATCAACTAAAATTCATTCTCGTTTTACTCGTCATTCAGCTAAGTCTCACTCGTTTACTGTATCTGTCCCTGCATGCTCTAAAAACTTTTATTCATCTAGTTTTTTTCCCCGCACTTCAATCCTTTGGAACTCTCTCCCATCTTCATGTTTTCCTGACTCATATAACCTTCAACTTTTCAAGTCTTCTGTCAACCGTTTCCTTGCTCTATAACTCTGTTCTTTTTTTTTCCTAGTAACTCCCAACTTAATAGTGGTTGCTTGCAGCCTTGTTGGGAGTGAATGCAAATAAAAAAAAAAAAAAAAAATTCAGGTTTCCCTCAATGTTGAAATGCTTGAATACCACTTGAAAGATGGTAGATTTTTGGTAAGAGGAAAAGAATAAAGTTGTCTCTTCAATCTTGACCAGTGGCAACAATGATGGCAACAATCTGAAAAAAGAAGCAAACTTAGGTTTTTTTTATTATTTATTAATTTTTGAATTATTAGTAATAAAGGATTTTAATTATTTTTATTTTAGAAAAAATCAAATTTAATCAAAATTACCTGTTCGAACTCTTCTGACGTAGAGATGCTATCTTTCAGCTTGGAATTCTCTTGCTAAGATCTTTCATGATCATTTTAAGTGCTAGCCTCTACTTTATGATTTATTATCATTTAGTTGAAATTCTTGGAGGTCTCAACAGCTGCAACTATCTTTACAAACTCAACCAAAAGAGATTTTGGTAAAATTTTACTCTGTCATGACCCTCTGTAGGTCAATGCTACTTTTTTGGTTTTGCAATGACAGTTTCTTAAATGCATCTACAGCGTTTTTTACTTCAGGAATGGTGAGGCACTCAGATACAACAAGTTTAAGATGGCGATCCGCCCATCTAAGACGCTCCTGTATTTTCGGTCAATTATAGGATGGCTGCTAGGATATTTGCTGCCTTATAGCTTGTACAGGTTATGTGAACATAACGTTATGATTCAAAGTATGCAATCTCAATAATTGTCTTGTCAAGGGTTGTCAATGAGGGCGTTTTACCTTTTTTGGGAGACTTCTGAAAAAGCTTTTTACCCGTTTGTCTTTTGTGCTGATAAACAGCATCTAAATAGAATGATACCAACTGGTATCAAATTTGTTTAAACTTAAAATAGCAACAAAAAATCTTATTTATTTGAATAAATTTTTGTTAAAAATTGCTGAGTCATTTGAAAATTAAATTAAATTTAATCTTACTCTTTGAATCAATAACATTAGCTTTTAAATTAAAGTGAGAGTTGAATTTGAGTGCTCAGGTTGGTCTTTTTTCTTAACAGAGATTCTTTTCTACACTTGGTTGAAAAGTATATCTTGCTTCTTAGTACCATTCAGTTTTTTTCGATTCCATGCTGCCTCAAATAGAACAAATGCCCTGGGCTCTTTATAAAAACGCCATTATAAAACTTGTTTTGAGTTAAGCTTGGACGAATTTCAAATAAATTTAAAATTCAATGTCAAAATCGAATTCAAATTTTGGCAAATATATAAGATCTAAATTCAAACTCATCGAATTTTAAATTTAAATCAAAGACATCGAAAAATTTTGAAATTCGTCCAAGCTTAACCCAAAACGCGGCGAATTTATCAAATTTAAAATTTCTAACACAAACTATCTTTATTAGAGCACTTTAACTGGAAATTGAAAGCTCAAGACTGTATTTTCATCGAAGAGCGGCTTGATGGTAAATTTAAACAGAGTTTTTTGTTAAATTTTAATAATTGAGAATGAATTAATATTAAATTGTATACTTGGTGCCATAAATATCTAAAAATCTATGAAATAAAACAAATTAATAAAAACAGACCATCATCTTTGACATATTTAATTAAGACACTTCGGCATATGCAGTGCTATCATTAAACTAAAAAAAAACAAGATTTAAACCCAGAACATCCAATAGCATTTAACTCTACAATAGAATCCGCTTTTGCTTTTGGTAAGTTGTACTTTCACTAACGCCATAAACTTTAAGCGAATAAATTTAGCAATAAAAAAGCTTTAGTCAGCAAAATGTCGGGTAAAGAAAATTTTAGTTTGAAAGGTATTGGGTTTTTAACTAATCCTAATAAATACAGTAGTCCATGTCGTTGTAGAGACTGCTGCAAAGTAATAACATTATAATGCATGGAGCGTCCGGGATACGCCCGATGCTATGGACACTTAAGGTAAAAGTTGACTTGCCGTTTCCTTTTTATTATTCCAGTATCTAATTACAAATGAGCGAATGTATTTGTTATTTTTTGCAGCCCTTTTAGTCTTCACTTAAATATTAAAAAATATACTTTATATAGAAATAATTTATTTATGAAAAGTTAATAAACTACAACAACAAAAATATATTTGTTCTCGTTTTCGTTGTCTGCAGATACTGCATAAATTTATTCACGCTAATAAAAAATTTACAAATGGCGTCTATGCATAAATATCACCTAAATTGTCCCCAAGTTTTTAACAAGTAAAAATTTATTATTTTTTTAATTTAAAAATACTAATACTTTATAGTTCTTGTTTAACATTTTTAGATTTCAAGACAACAGAGTTTTCTTCAATAAATTTCACTAAATCACTAAGTTCCCTTCCACCGTCCATTTTTATTGGTTTGTCTTTTTTGCCAGGAAGTGCATAATAAATAGTTGGATAACCACTCACTTCATAGGCAGCATGTGCCTCATTCTCTGTAGCATCAATCTTAGCTATAACTATATTTTTCTCGTTTTTGAATTTCTTTGCTAATTTTACTATAACAGGCTCCTGTAGAAAAAAATGTTTAAAAAATATATTTTAGTAAAATAATTTATTAAAAAGTAAAACTAATTTTCGGCAAAATTTTGGTTTCTAAGCCTAAAATGTTAAAAAAAATTTTTTTTATAGTTTACCAATTTTTTACAATGGCCACACCATGGAGCATAAAACTCGATAAAAACTTCTTTAGATTCATCCATGACTACACTATCAAATGTTTTACCGACAACAACTTGTACATTACCAGGATTAACTTTCTTAGGAACAGCTTGTGATTTTATAACTGGTTTTAATTTTCCTAAACAAAAAATTTATGTTAAGTAAAAATTAAATATGCACATACATACATTATGCACGCATATATATATATATATATATATATATATATATATAATATATATATATATATATATATATATATATATATATATATATATATATATATACATATATATATATATATATATATATATATATATATATATATATATATATATATATATATATATACATATATATATATATATATATATATATATATATATATATATATATATATATATATACATATATATATACATATATATATACATATATATATATATATACATATATATATATATATACATATATATATATATACATATATATATATATACATATATATATATATATATATATATATATACATATATATATATATATACATATATATACATATATATATATATATATATATATATATATATATATATATATATATATATATATATATATATATATATATATATATATATATCAACCTTTATAAAAATCTTCCAAAAACTCTTCTAAAGTTTCTTCATTAAACTATATATATATATATATATATATATATATATATATATATATATATATATATATATATATAAATATATATATATATATATATATATATATATATATATATATATATATATATATATATATATATATATATATATATATATATATATATATATATATATATATATATATAAATATATATATATATATATATATATTTATATATATATATATATATATATATATATATATATATATATATATATACATATATATATATATATATATATATATATATATATATATATATATATATATATATATATACATATATATATATATTATCAACCTTTATAAAAATCTTCCAAAAACTCTTCTAAAGTTTCTTCATTAAACTCCTCATCTTTCATTGCAAAACGCTGTCCTTTGTCGTTGTAAATACCAACATTTACAGTTTCTCCTGAGTCAGAAAGACCAAGTTCTTTTAATTTATGCTCAAACATAGTTTCATCAGCCACTGCAAAAAGAGCATTTTTGTATTTCCTTGCTACAGGTACAACTTTATTTCTCCAAAATTGTGTCACTATAAAAAAAAAAAAGTCAAAAAAACTAGAAGACTTTTTGTGTTAAACCCTTTTGATAAACTATTTTTTAAAAAATTATCAAACCGTCAAATTAAAAGTAGGAGAGAATTAAAATTTGGATTAATTTTTGTATTAATTTAATCCACTGTCAGAGAGTAAGTTGCAAGACTTGAAATTTTTTAATTAAAGACTTTGTTAATAATAGTAAAAACAAATGAGAGATGATCGGAGCAGGAACAAATGAGAGATGGTTGGAGGAGGAAAAAATGAGAGATAGCCGGAAAAGGGAACAAATGAGAAATGGTTGGAGGAGGAACAAATGAGAGATGGTTGGAGGAATTAGAGCAAAGTAGCTATTTAAAAAAAATTTAAACATATAGTTTTTCAACAGGCAAGAAAACAAGTTCAGTTGAGCACTTCGTTAAAAATAGTTTAGAGAATAGAAAAAAGTTCTGGTAAGCACTTTTGTTAGACTGTGACAAGAATGTTGCTTAGACAACGATATAGAAGTTTAAATAGAACTTTAGCAACAAGAAATGGAGTAATTACATTTACAAGTATATGTTAAGTTTTACAGTATATGTTAAGTATATGTTAAGATTTACAAGCGTGCGTTAAGATCATGAGACTATTAAAGTCTTTACAAATTAAAGAATACTAGCCGTCAAAACTCAAATCCAAAGATGTAACTTACAATGAGCAAATAGGTCTGTTGAAGCTTGCTAGAAATAAAATTTAACAATTATTTTTAAAGATAGGATTAAAAAATATGGTGGTAACAATGGTTTTTATGCATTTAATATTTTTACATATTAAGTCATATGACAAGAAAACTTGACTTAATCATAGACAGTGCATAGCACCTTAAGTAATAAGCTATGCATGATATGACTGCTGCTAATTAACACAAAGTTGTAACAAAAAGAAACACCAAAATAATGCACACAAAAAACACCAACAGAGACACCATCCATGTAAACATAATATTAGTAATACTGTTAGTTTACACCTGCTGATGAAATCAACCTCTGAGAACTACCACAGAGTTCAAAAAGTTTTACTGCCAGCCATCTGCATAACTATAAACTGAACTTGTTGTTCTTGAATTGCTGTACCCTCATTAGGAAACAACAGTTTTATAAACACTACTAAGAAGGCATAAATATAAGGTTAACCCATAACTAGAGTCAAAAATTTTTTATTACCATTATCAAAGAGTTTAACAATCAAAATGCAAATTATATTCAAAGTAGTAAATTTAAAAAACAAAATTAACATACTTGATCTGAATTCTGGTTGAAAGTTCACATCATAAAACACAAGAACCAATGGTCGCTTTGAGAACCTTGACTCGATGTGTTGTTGATAATGACCAACTAAAGGAACACAGTATTCTTTGTAAAATGCTTGGACTTGTATATCATTTCCTGATGCATCCTAAATTACATAACACAATAATTATATAAGATGCTTGAAAATATATTTATATTTTCAAGCATCTTAATGTTCAAGCTAACTTTGATTTTATATAACATCGATACTGTGTGTAAGAACCTTTACAATTTTAACTATACAGTTTCAAAACTTCTATAACAAATTTTTCGATTCTTTTAAATTAAATTAATTTTCAATTTTACAGGGTGTTGCAAACCTTGTGTCTACAAGTCATAAATTTTATTAGAGCATCTTTGCATCAAATCATTCAGTAAAAGTAGTATTATTATTACAAATAAATTAAAGAAACTCTTAACCTGAAACAAGAGTTTCTGTAATTTCATTGAAGCAAACATATAAACCCATATAACTTTTTTTTCATTAAAATTAAAAAAAAAATTAATACTAGTATTAATAATAAACTTACATCAAATGCACGATATTTAGGTTCATATTGAGTAAGAAGATATTCAGGATGTGCAATTATTATACTACTAACTTTTAGCCCAAAGTAATGCTTTGCATCAGCTGCAAAAGTATGTCCAAAAACATAATCATCACGCACTGCATTGTTTGAATCGATGTATAATTTATAAAGGGGATCATCCTTGCTGTCAAAAACTCCTAATATCACTGGTTCGTCTAAGTTTGATTTCAAGAACTTTTTAACATCAGTCATTGTTTCATAAAGTTTTGTGGGATCACCAGCTTGGTTCAGCATATAATCAGCAATTCCTTATTAAAAGAAAAATATATTAAAAAAATAAAGAAAAAAACATCAATGTAAATAAAAACAAACAAACAAAAAAATCAGAAAAGATAATAAATCCTAAATTATTTTATCCATTATACCAGGTTCCTCTCTGGGTCCTTTGTATTCAGTAGCTTTTCCATTGCGAAAAATTTTCATAGTAGGATACCCTGTTACACCATATTGCTCAGCTAGTTCTTTTTCAATAGTAGCATCAACTTTACCAATTAGTATAGAAGGTTGTTTAGATTGTAATGCAGATGCTGCCTTTTCAAGTTGTGGAGCTATTTTCTTACAATGGCCACACCTTTACAGAATAAAACTTTTTTACAAGAAAAGCAATTTAAAAAAAAAAATACTTTATCAGGCTTGGTCGGGAAGCGGGAGCGATCGCTCTCGAATACTGACCACGGAAATTATATTTAGTTGCGAAAAACTGGCCAGGTTTTTTAGTCGTTTGAGAACATTTAAGTTTATGTACGAAACAAAAATTTTTTGTTTTACGGACTTACATGGAAACATTATAAACTTGAATGTTCTCAAAACATCTTTGTGCAAAAGAATAAAAAGAATATTCGCCAACACTAAAAACCCGCCAAATTAACGAAGAAACTAATTCTCTATTGGTTCAAAAAATACGCTTACTTAGCGAAATAAAGTTCTAGAGTATTGTTGAAATGTTTTAGAAAATGTTTTAGAAACGATTTGTTACATTTTGAGATTTCTAGCATAAATTGTTTTAGGAATAAATATATTATTTGTTTTTTTTTAAATTTAAAACTTTTATTTTTGTTAAAAATAAAAGTTTTAAATATATACTAAATTGTCAAAATGTTAAAATTTTATTATAAATTATAGATTTTATTAGTATATTATTATTTTTTATTTAAAAAGTATGTATTCTTTATGTAAATTTAATTTTGTTTATCTGTTTTTTATCGTAATGCATCTTTTAAAGCAATTTTTACGATTTAAGCAAAGACTTACAAAAATAATTGCGTTTTCAATGAAGTTATAATCGTTATAGTTAATAAAACTAATTATGTAACAAACACATATAAGTTTCTAGTTACTAAACACAAACAACGCGTACAAAGTAACTCGCAGATGAACAACCACCGCGCCTGAGGTCACGACATAACAAACATTTATAGCAAATATTTAAATACAAAGAAAAGTTTCTAGATATTGGTTTACAAACTCTAATTATTTTCGTTTAAGTTGCCATTCTTAAAACTCGTTTTTCTGCTTTAAATACTAATTAAAATTAAAAAGCCCACTCACTAAACATCATCAGCGATATTGTGAAGCAGTTTCGCTTCCTCGTAATTAAGTATATTTAACCTTTTTAGTTGATTTCTATCTTGTTAATTTAATTTCTATAGTAACTCAATGATTTAATTATTTCATTTGTTTATCTCACTAAGAAGAATTGCTTCAAATATGTTAAACTTTTCAAACTACGCGAAATATAAAATAGGTATTAGAAAAATTAACTTTTTTATTTATAAAATAATTTAGCTTATATAAAACTTTTTTAATAAAAAATATTTATTTCCTTTTTAAACAATCGCAAGTTGTTACATATATAAAAAACATCGCCTAATTTTATAAAAAAAAATTATAAAAGAGCGATGTTTCAAAAATATTTGTCTAAACGTAATTTATTTAGCTTTAGATTTTTTTTTTTTGTAATTGTCTCTCATCGGTCCAATTAATCTTTATCGCTTTTTTTTTTTGCTTTCAAAAATGTTCTCAAAACGACTAAAAAATCTGGCCAGCTTTTCGCAACTAAATATTATTTACGTGGTCAGCAATCGAGAGCGATCGCTCCCGCTTCCCGACCAAGCCTGCTTTATAGAAAATCTAATGCAAACTACTTGCTTTTTTTTACTTAAACTTTCATTACAAATTCTGAGTTTTTTTTATCACAATTTTAAAAATTTCCAGGAGAAAAATATACCAGACTGAATTTCCCAAATTTTTCTTTTAAAAAAACTTTATCTTCTTTTAACACAAACTCATTAAACAAGTCCTTTGTAATAATATTCATTTATCAAAAAAATTTATTGAAATCACAAAGATTTTGGTTAAACATATTGAAAACTTACAAATTTTTTTATCTCTAAATTTAAGTAAAAGATTGCCAACAATTCTTTTATAGTTTAATTAATAAAATCATAATTTTTAACTTACCATGGTGCATAAAATTCAACAAGCATGATTGCTTCCTTTTCTGTGATTTCTGTAAAATTATCTTTTCCAAGTACAATGACAAAGTCTTTTGGTGGAACATAGTTTGGATCAGCATGTTGTCTCATATATTTGACAATACCTGAACATCACAAAATAACTTTAAAATAAAGCAACAAACTTAATTTAACATAAAAAAAAAACTTTTCATTTTCATTCATTAGATAAACAGTATACATCTTTGATTTACATACCATTTTCGTCTCTTTCACCATCATAATCAGATGGTTCACCATCTTTAAAAAGCTTTATTGTTGGATAACCCTGTATGTTGAATCTATTAGCGAGCTCGGTTTCTTTTGTACAGTCTACTTTAGCAAGTGATACCGGAGGGTCATTATTTTTTAATTTTTGAGCAGCTTTACTGTATTCTGGAGCCAATTGTTTGCAGTGCCCACACCTAATTAAAAAAGATATATAAATATATTAACACCTTATAAATAAAATTTTGGACAAAATTTAAAAATTAATATTTTAAGAACTAATAAGTTTTATTATTTAATATTTCAACTGTTAATATGTTAGTGTATGCAGTTTATAAATATATTATTTATATATATATATATATATTATTAAAATATATATTATTAAAATAATTATTTCAAATACCATATTTAGCAATATTATAAAGTTTTTTTGAAAGATGTTTTTTAATTGGTCTTGTCTCTGGAACGTTAGCTGGGTTTATATCTTTGGGTACAACTTTAATTTTTTTTAATTTTAAAAAGTCGATGACCGACTTAGCGTAATGTGATCGAGCTAGATCAGGCCAGAAGATAAACTTATTGTCTTTTTTATAATATTCTGATACTAGAGGAAGTAAAGCTTTTTCTAGTATCTCTTTATAAGTGTACTGGTTGATTGCCTGCTTACTGTGTTGAATATAAAGAGGGCTTATTCCACGGGGGCTAATGCAACAAGGAACTAAGAGCTTTTCCTCGTACTTTTTATGCAAATTGTATCCTACTTCGTCAGAACATTGAGAAGGATCAGCGGCATAAAACCTATCATTACCAGCTAATGTGCTATTGTTTAAGGTAAAATAGCTTTCATCATACATGACAAAATCCAAGTTTTTATAATATTCGTACAATTTACGACATTAAAGACGCATAGCTTTTTTCTGCTGATGGCTATGATCTGGTCTATTTGTTTTTTTGAAAGTTCGAATGTTAGTCATTGTTTTTAATACTTGGGAAATTCGAGTTTGACTACAGTTAAAAACTTGAGCTACTTCCTTTTGGGAGCACGCTGACTTATTTTCAAAAAATGCAGTAATCTTTGGAATACTTTCTTTAGTAGCTACCTTAGCAATTCAACAACTCCCAACTTTTCTTTTTAGAGATCCATTCTCCAATTTTACGATTTTATCGTAAGCAGTTGATCTGGGTAAATCACATTCCATAAACTGCTTAGCAACAAATGCTTTACCTTTTTCTCGATTATTTTGGAAAAAAATATCCATCATTTTTTCTAGGTCCTTTATTTTGACCATTTTATTTTCAATATTTAAATAATATTTTTAACTTAATTAAATTAAATTTAAATATATTATAAAATCCTCTTTCAAATAGGTATAAAGGTTTTTTTGCGTGCATAAAGTAAATTACATAATAAATGCAATTAAAATTTGTCCGAAATTTTATTTATAGGGTGTTATATTAATATAAATATAATATATAATACAATAAAAATATAAATACATTATATAATACAAGCATGTCATTCATCTTCATTTAGCGCTTTAAAATGCATCAATGAAAGAATGTCAACATCAGGGATGCAAAGCCCTAAAAGGACTTTATATATCCATTTTTTTGGGTCTATAGTGTCTAGAAGCTCTAAACATGTTTGTTGACATGAGATTTAATAACTTGGAATTTATTGCTTTTAAGTCCTGAGTCCTGGAGTCCTTGCCGCAATTAAACCTAAGGACTCCGGGTTAAAAAAATAATTGTTACTCTTACCTAAAAGCCTTACTTTTATCCTATTAGTAGTCCATAAACTTTTTTATATTTTTATAGCTCCTGGATACCAAAAACTAAGAAGTAATCTTTTTGAAAATTTAAAATCCAGAGTCCTTTTTAGGACTCTGCATCTTAGGTCAACATACTATTAAGCATGTACAGAAAAAAGCAATAAAATATAAATTGAAATATTTTTCCAGTGATCAAATCTAGGTTTTGCGTTTTGTTTTTTGTAAAATCAAGACCTGATTATAATAAGTGCTTGAACATATAATTTGTTTAAATAGTATATAAATTATAACAAATTTTACAATAATATATATAAAAAAGTATTTATTATAATAAACCTAATCTATCAAAAATTATTATAAGAAAATGAGTATAAATAGTTTAAATAAACTTTAAATAAATCAGGTCTTGATTTTACAAAAAAAGTGAAACCTAGATTTGCTTACTGGAAAAGAGTTTCAACCTTAAATATATTTCTAAAGTTATACAAAATTTGAGAAAGATTTGAGCATAAATAAAAATGTTAATTTGTAGATGCTAATTTTCAAAGTTAGTTCAAAGTTAAACTTACATCAGTTTTTAGTGCAAAGACAAAAAAAGTTTTTTAGCATTCATAATTAGTACAATAACATAAATTGCACAAATAGGCATTATCTTTTTTTATATACAATTAAATTATTAACTGATTATGAATGAAAATTGTAATTGATTTAATTGAAATAAATTTTTTTTTAAATAAAAGTTCATAATCAGAAATAAAATGAGATATGTGGAGATTTTCACCTGATTGCCTTCTTTTTTATACATGCAGTTTTTTCAAAACAGATATAAGATTATAATGAATCTTTTACCGGAAAAACACATCTGTCTGAATTATAAGGTTTCAATTATAAAGTTTTAATATAGCTGATTTGAATTCCACCTTCCTTAGTTTGAAGAAGAGTTTTTTTTTTAACTCTTTGTTTTTATATTTTTATAAAAAATTTAATATCGCTAATATCCAAATTATAAAAATAAATTACTTTATACTTACCATGGCGCGTAAAATTCAACGAGAACAAATTTTTTAGAGTTAATAAAGCCATCAAAATTTTTATCTGACAAAATAATTACATGATCTTCTTCGACTGGTTCGTCAACCACTTGTTTTATATTTTCTGATGACTCGTCTAAAGGCTTATCACTAGGTACATCTTCGCATTGAATAGTAATAAATAGCAAGCAAAGAGCAAGGCACGTTGCGCTTTTGGCCATCATCTTGAATTTTTAAACAGTAAACAATGTGAAATGATTAGAATTCGTGGAAGGAGCCATTTGTCTTTAATTAATAGCCAATCATTTTTTCACAAGTTAAGTATAACAGCCAATCATATTACACCGCGTCTTAATAAATGCCCAACGCTTACTCGAAAGGAATTAAGCTCATTTTGTTTCTCGTAACTACAAACTAAGAGCCATTATCTGAAAAATGTATGCAAAATCTAGAATTGATGTCTTCATATTATCTATATTTTCAGATACTTTGTAAAAAAAACAATGAAATTAGGCCATTGGTCAATATTTTTTTGAAAATTATCATTTATTGCGGAGATATTGAGTCCTAAATTTTAGCCGATTTATAAAAATATTTGTGCATGGAGTGCAATTGCTACTTTGTGGGCAATTTAAGAAACATGAACCTGAGAGAAATATTTTTTATTTATTTGCTACTCTGGGTAGATTTCTACATACATTAACTTTTTGTTTTCTAGAAACCATGCATGAACAAAAACAAAAAGTATTGTTTCAAACCATGCATGGTTTGAAACCACTATACTTTAAATTTTATCCGTACTTTGAGCATTAATATTTTCTAAGGCCATTACTTGAACATAGTTTCCTAAATTATTTTTGAAAGCCATTAAGGCATACATTGATTTTATGCAAAAAAAAAATATCATGTAAATGTCGGCGAAGAAGTAAAAAATGAAGTAAGCTGCCAAAATAAATTTTTGCGATTAATACATTTTGCTAGATAACAACATTAGTCTATGGTTTGCCGTAAAGCCTATAAGTTCAAAGCTTCCTTATACATATATCTTACAATATCTGAAGAAAAATTATACATGTGCTCTTGTGATAAAAAGCGTACAGAAGTCCTAGAACTAAACGATTCCATATTAATGGACCACGGTTTGTAATTAGAAAATTTGACTTTTGACTAATTTTTCCTAAGTGGTAATGGTAGTACCTGATTTTTGAATCAGATTTTTGAATCTGAAAAATTATTTTTATTATGTTTATCTGATATCTGGAATATATTAAGATTCTCAGTTTCTAGAACCATCCATTCTTGGAAGGGGTATGCATTATCCCCCCCCCTCCTTACCAGAATCTGAAAATCCTAAAATCTATTAAAAATGGAGGACTTTTTTTTTTAGGAGACGCAAATCTAATATAAATTACAAAAACTTTTTCAATCACCCACCAAAGTTTCCCTGATCCGTCACTGCATCCATCATGCATTTCATCAGTGAAGCCAGGTTTGCTAACCTATTTAAATAATTGATTGCTTTGCATGCATGGTTTTGTAGGTTTAACAATTTTAGCAATTTAGTTTAATATATTATTAATAGTGTTTAAATTAAAAATGTTATATAATATAATATGGAGTCAGTTCCAAGATTTTTCCTAGAATAAATTTTTTTATTTGATTAAAAAAGTAACATTTATCCATAAATAAAAATTAGTTATTTTTATTTTACTTGTGGTTAAATATTTAAAGATTCACAGAACATATTATTTAAGTTATATAATTTTGCAGTTGTAACGTTGAAGTGTATACAGTGTTAATCAACGTTAATCTATCTACATTGAATCAAAATTGGTCGTACACATTGTCCAACGTTGGTTTAAGCTCGTAAAAAAAAAATCAACTTTTGCAATCTTTTTTCATGCGTTGGACCAATGTAATTGTGCAAGCTGATTTTTGTTATTAATCTTTTTATTGATATTATTGCAAAATACTTGATATTGAATCAATGTTAGATTTGCATCAGAAAAAACAGCCGACACTCGCGATTGTTCAACATATGTTTGTCTAATGCATGTATGCTAGCTGGGATTGCCGCTCAAAGTAGCAATTACACTCTATGCACAAATATTTTCATAAATTTGCCCAAATTTTGGGATCCAATATCTTTGCAATAAGTGGTAGTTTTCAAAAAAAACAAACACATTACAATGAAAATCTGCAGGAAAATCATAACATTGCAAAATATTGTAGACACTTCTTTAACAAGTAAAAAATAGCATTTCTCAGAAGTGTTTTAGAGAGGTGCCGTTGCGAATCGTTGAGAGTCGTTGAAGTGTCGGTGCACTAAGAACTTGTAGAACTCTAAAACCATAATATTGTTTATTGATGATATGCATATTCGATCTTATTATATTGGTATCTCACCATTTCTAGCCATTATTAATCAACATAAATTAACAACACTTTTGCATATCTGGTAAACTAAGACAGCAGTCTTAAAAGTACGTTGTTTCTTCATAGAAAATACTTGTAGTACTAAACACCAAAACTTTTCACTATATAACTTTTGATTATAACTTTTTTAATGTTTGAAAAAAATTATAATCAAAACCACAGTAATTTTTATAAAATCTGTTGCGTCTCATCTTTCTTTTATATCCAGCAGTCCTGAAATAATTTTTTAATTAACTTAGTTTTAAATAAAAACACGCTCAGCATCCATTCCTTATAACTGATGTTTTGGTCATTCTTTTACCCAGTTAACCAGCCCAACTGGGTCCCAGCTGGAATTGACTGCGATTGAGCTGGGATTACTGGGATTGGATTCGGGCTGGGATTTTTTCTGGGTGCCAGATGGGTTCCATATGGTGTGAAAATAATGCTGCAAATAAAATCTGGGTTTTTACTGGGATTGGCATGGAGCTTCTGTAAATGGTTTACAGCTGGTTTGAAGATGGGACGCGTGTTTGAATAATCATGAATGTTTAAATAATCATGAATGTTTTTTATTTTTCACTTGCTATAGTAAGTCAATTTTCATTGTGTTATTATATGATATCATATAATCATATATAATATGTTTATTTACTAAGTTATAAAAAAGATATCAAATTTTTTTGGTAATGCATTTTTTATTTATGTTATTTTTATATAAAACTTTATTAAATTTTAATAAAACTTTATTAAATTTATTTAAGAGGTTCCATAGTATCTATGTTTTGCTTTTAGAGTTGGTTTGTGTTTAACAACAGAAAATATATTACTTCATCAAATGTTAGTTTTTTACACATAAAAGTTATGTAAAATCTCCTACGAAATGGTTCTTAATATAGTAAGCGTACACTTAATCTGACAACATTATTTTGAATATTTTTGTTTCGGAAGGTTTAGGAAAGTTTTATATATTTATAAATATATATATAAACATCATTATACATAGATAACTTTTAAACTTTACTACATTGTCACAATGTAGTAAAGTTTAAAAGTTATCTATGTATAATGATTTTTTAAACCAATTTATTAGGTTGTTGTATATTTTTTAGAATCTGCTGTGAAATAAATTTAATATATAATCACAAAATGTAGCTCAAAGACAAAATGAAATTAAACAATAAATTTTGGTCCATGATAATTAAAAAATGTTAAGTTTGACTAATCATGAATTTAACTATTATATATATTAATATAAGTACTCTACGCTTGTGTATAATTGTAAATTTTCATTCTGAAAATAATTTTAATACAAAATTTATTGTGGTCAAAACTTTTAATATTTTTCAACGTTTAAGTTGTAACAAATAATTATTTTCAAGTAATAATGTAACCTAAAATGATTATTGTTTAATTAGATATAATCAAAATGTTAGTGACATTGATTATTTTTGCATTTATTAAATTATATAAAAGGTATTAAACCCTCACTAACTGATTTAAGGGTTTGATGTCATGTTAACTTGAGTCAAGATATTAAACTTTAAATGGTAACATAGTAGTCATGTTATATTATTGTTGTTTACAAGTCTATTTATGCTATGTCTAATTAATAACATCAAACATTTACCATGAAATAACATTGTTTTAGATTCCCTGCAGGATTCCTGTCACAAATAAAAACTGAAGAAACTTTAAAACTAGATGATGGCATCTAAAGAAGTTGAAATACCATTATTCATGGTGTCATATCGAGGCTTCAGTTCTCTGGTATTTATTTTGCATTTTATTATTTATGTTATGTTTATTTATTTTTTATTTTTGTAATTTTTTAACAACATGCTATCAGTATAATCAGGGCCGGCGCGAGTAGGTGTCACGTGGGGGGTGTCATTACAACTTTTGCCGACTAAAAAAAAAAAAAAAAAAAGGTTCTCGTTTTCCAAAATTTGCCGACTGTCATGACGACATTTGCTGACTGTCTAACCTATATCGATAGGATGTCTACATTTGCCGACTAACTAGGCCCAATTTGCCGACTAAGGGTCCAGTTTGCCGACTAAAAATCATTGATGGGGGGGGGGTGTCACACACACACCCCCACACCCCCCTATCGCGCCGGCCTTGAGTATAATTAATAGTCCTGCCCTGGGCCTCTACTTCAATCTGGCTATGGTTATCTTGTTATAACAGGTATATCAATTTATATACTGTATTGAGTTAGCTTATGATTTGTACGTGTATTTTTGTTTGCCTAGTGTTTGTTAGTTATATGCAAGATATGGCATGGTATGGCATGCTGCATGGTATGCCCTAAATAGTATTATCAATAAATATTTTTATCTATACTTTGTAAATATATAAGCTATAAACTACTATATTATTCAATTGTTTATTTTTAATTTAAGAAATTAGTGTTAAAATGGATGAAATCACTAAAGAAGCAAAACGATAAACTTTAAAGCAGAATTTTGTCATGCAATTATGTTAGTGATATGAGAGAACTACTGTGCGATTATGGTGGCGATATGAGAGAACTACGGTGATAGAATATTACTATCGTAGAATAGTTTTGCATCAAATCATTGTATAATATTAGTTTTTTGTTATATTATGAATATGATATTATGAATGAATGATATATAAAAATATATATACTATATAAATTATTAAATTTAATTATTATGAAATTTAAATCTGTTTTTCCAATTGATTCGTAAAAATTATGTCAGACCAAATATTCATTTGCCTAATACATTTTATTGCACTGACAGCGAATTTAATATAGATAATATAAATAAACTTTACTTTCTAACTTTATATAAAAAATCCGACGCCTTTTAATCAAAAAATTGTCACATTTTGCAGATGTGAGATACAGAAAATCTGCGAAAAACAAACTATAAATAATTGAGAAAACCTGCCGTAAATGAAAAAAATATCTGGGTTCAGTATGGGATTTCCCGCCAAAAACCCAGGGTAATCCCAGTTGGGACCCAGTTGGATCCCACTGACATAATCGCAATAAAACCCATGTGGGATACCCAGATGGGTACCAGCATTTTCCCCAGTTGGGTCCTAGCATTTTCCCCAGTTGGGTCCTAGCTGGGACCCAGTTGGATTGGTTAATTGGGTAGTAAGTAAAAATGTCTAATAATATAAATCTCTCAAAAACGTTATAATTAACACAAAAGACATCGGTGTATGCTATGTTACGAATTTTTTCCAGATAATATCAAATGCTTCATTGAATCTTTGTAGGTGTTTTTTTAGGTGAAGAATCAACAATTAATGAAACATCCCAGTTAACCATTTCAACTGGGGAAAATGCTGGGACCCATCTATGTATTCCACATGGGTACCATTGCGACAAACAAACTACCATTGAGGTACCAAATGAAGTTTATGTGAAAAATCCTTCAAATGTATATTCATTCCGAATCATTTCAACCTACTGTACATGTAGTTTTTAAAAAGTTTTTCATCATATGTATTCATAAAATTTTAATGAAAATAATGTAAAATAAACTATCCTTTTTCTAAAAATATATGTTTAATAAATAAAAATGTATTTAATAAATATATATATTCAAACAAAATGTGATTTTTTTATTATTACATACAAATAAAGTTAAACATAAAAACACCTAATAATTTTTGTTTACTATTATTTACAAATAACTCAAAATATAAATTTTTGATTTTTTCCATATAAAACCTTATATTATAACTTATAACATCAGTTACAATATTTATAATATAAGTAATATATCATTAATTAAATAGCTTATAGAAAATGTAAAACTTATGTATTTATAAATAATATGTAAAACTTAGATATGGCAGTGTTACTTAGTAAAACCTTACCATAATTTGTAAAGTGACATTGAGATTTGGTTGAAAAAGATAATTTAAAACGAACACTCACACTAACTTATTTGTATACTAAACGTAATAATATCTAACTTTTATAATTATAACATTATATAAGTAAGTTACAGTGTATTTCGTTTTTTTTAATTTAGTGACTAAGCCATAACTGTAAGCACACCAAACCATAAAAACTAATTTGAAAAATTTTCAACATTTGTCTATCGCATAAAAAAATTTTAAAAAATATGCTTTCAGTTTGATAGAACATTTTACAAGTCTGTGAAAAAATAAACGTTGGCATATTCTCAAACTTATTAATGGCTACAGAGGCGGCCCTTGAATGGCTATGAAATTTAAAGCATTTTAAGAAGTTTAAGAGTATGCCACTTTTTTTTTTTTTTTTTTTTTAGCGAACAAAAATTTTTTTTTGGCTTTAGTCGGCAAAAAACAGGCACATCACCCCCCCCCCCCCTTCCCCCACCTTTAAAATCTCTTCGGGACGACCCTGATTCTTTTTTACAAAAATACTAAAAATGAACCGAATTAAGTTCCTGTTCACTCCAAATGCAAGTGTATATTCAATCCAAATCAAGATGTGTTACAGTATATGTCATTTTAAAATATTTTATCATATTTTCAAGCATAATTGTTGCAGCAATCGTTGCATCATATGGGACCCATCTTTTACCCAGTTCAAATCCCAGATATAACTCAGTTCCAGTAACCCAGTTACATTCCAGCAGGGACCCAGTTGTCGTAGTTAACTGGCAGTTAATCATTTTTTTTATTATTTACTATTATTTACAAATAGTTTGCAATATATATTATTTAAATATTTCTTTGTATAAAACCTTATACTACAAATTAAAATTTAAGTTATAATATTTATAATATAACTCAAACTATAAATAATATCACTTTACAAAACATAGTATTACTATGTTTTGTAAAGTGATGATATCACTATTAGTGAGGTTTTACTAAGTGACACTGTTATATATAAACTTTAGATATCATTTATAAATGCATAATATAAATGTAAGACTTAACATTTTCTATAAGTTATATATTTGATAATATATTACTTATACTATAAAACATATATTAACTGTATTACTTATAAAATATGTAAGATCTTACCTTTCATAATGTATGATTTAAAAATGTATGATTTTAATTTTTTTTCATAAGTATGTAAAAACTTATGAAAAAAAATATATTATTTATAAATACATAAACCATTTATTAAATGATTTATGTAAAAATAAATAATATGGAAAATTTACTTACGGCAGTGTGACACAGTAAAACTTTGCTATGTTTTGTAAAAAAAATTTGTCAAAATCACTTTAAAAAACCTAGCATATTCAAATGTTTTTCAAAAAGTCTTTGAGGTTTGTTTGAAAAAAAAATTAAAATTAAACACACAAAGTCATTACTGTAAGCACACTAAACCATATAAACTATTTTAAAAAATTTCAACATTTGTCTATTGCATAATTACAGAATATGCCTTCAGTTTATAAAACCGTTTACAAGTTTTAAAATAAATAAATGTTAACATATCTCAAACTTGTAATAGCTCAGAAATTCAGTCTGAATTTCAGTCTAAAATTTCATTTCTCAAATTTCTTAAATGCAGGGCATTTAAGAAATTTAAAAACATTTAAGAATTAAGATGTCATATTCTCTTTTTTTGTGTGTGAGAAATCGTTTTTTAAACAGATGACTAAATATTGATTGTAACATATTTACACTTTTAGTATAGAATTAAAACTGATATGTAAATATTTTTTTACAAAAATACAGTAAAAAAACCAAATGAAGTTCCTGTGTATATTTACTCCAAATGCAATTATATATTCGATCTAAATCAAGCCGCGTTATATATTCAATCTAAATCGAGCCAAAGACCGTAAAGTCTTGTCATTGAGAACTGCTAACATAAACATAACATAAACGTGATAAAATATCGTTGTAAGTAAAAGTGGTAAATAAGATAGTTCCACATTTCTTCTTTTTTATTTACAAAAAAGTTTTTTGTAAATATATATTTCTGTTATATATACTAAGTATGCAAATTAATTGTAAATAACTCGTGATAAACACATACATTTAGAAAATTCTTTGATTAGTAGAAACGGAAAAAAGAAGTTACAAAAAAACTTTTTAAGCTTTCGTTTAATTGAGCTGTAGTTACGATGTTGAATAAAAACTTGATAAAAACTTTTCAAAACTCTTTTATTCCATAAAAATGTTCAAATCAATTTGTTTGAAAATATGGCTGCTCAATAAAATTATTTTTGCGGAAATTGTATTTATTTCTATTTTTTGACAAATTTAAATTATGAAAATAAACCAGGAAAGAATTGATTTTAAATAAAAACGTAAAACAAGGAACATTATAAACATTAAGTTGATATATATTTAGTTTTTATGATATATATTAGTTGATATATATTAACTCATTTTTCTTAATAAAGGAAACCTCAGTTGGGTAAAAGGTTTATTAAAATTTATTAAACGTGCTACTTGCTTCTAATAACAATGAAGAGTTTCAAGTTTGCGTTTTGCTAGTATTAGCACATCCAATGTTTGTATAGTTAATATGGCTACCTATAAAAGAGAAATATAATGGAGTTAGAGTTTTCTTATTTAAAAAGATTTTTACTTTAAATAAAACTCCAATTCTTCTTGAAGTTTTGTGTTGATGCATGGCCTACTTTATTTATACGGCCGGATATTTTACATTTTGAAGAAAAAAATAGAAAGCCAGTTTTCTGGAAAAGTGCTTTTAAGAAAGGAGCTTTGGAAGTTCAAAAAGATGGTTAACAAATGTTGCGTCGTAAATTGTCGTTCAAATTATCATAATTATGGTGAAGTATCTACAGTAGTATTTTCGTTTCCAAAAAATGAAGAGTTAAAAAAATATTGGATTAAATTTGTAAATAGAAAAGATTGGACACCTACTAATTCTTCCGTTATATGCATCAAACATTTTGAAAAATTGTCGTTTAAAAGTATGCTTCATAATTTTCCTACCTACATTAAATCACAAGCCGAACAATTTTCATCTGTATTGGCTGAATTACAGCAAATTAAATATATGAAAAAACCTATTTATTCAGCCAATATTATAAGGTATTCACTGATATTACGATATACTTCTATGCAGTCATACCAACTTTTGCGTGAAGAATTGCCTTTACCATCATTATCATTACTTAAAAAAATAACTAGTGGAAATATTGATGCTCTAAGTTGTGCAAAACGTTTAAAATTAGAAGGTAAGATATCTCAAGACATTTGCTTGATTTTTGATGAAATGTACTTGCAAAAATGTGAGGAGTATTTTGCTGGAGAGATGATTGGTAGTGATGAGTCTGGAGAAATGTATAAGGGAATAGTTTGTTTTATGATAGTTGGCCTGAAACAAAACATTGCATATGTGATCAAAACGTCTCCTGAAAAAACAATCAATGCTGAATGGTTGAAAGAAGAAATTTTTGAATGTCTTCGTATTTTAACTGAATGTGAATTTAATGTTAGAGTTATTGTGTGTGACAACCATTCTGCTAATGTTTCTTGTTTTAAAAAAATCCTTTGTGCATCGAATCAACAAGCTGAAGATTTGTTTTTTATTTACAATCTAAAAAAAATTTACCTCTGTTTTGATGTTGTACATCTTATTAAAAACATCAGAAATAATTTGTTAAATTGCAAAAGATTTTTATTTCCAGATTTTAACTTTAATGGGTTTAAA